CCACACAGTAATCACTGCTAACAATCCTTTAAACTGAAAGGAAAGTTATAGATTTTACCTTCGGGGAATCTCACTGGGTCATGACTCCTGTGATTCACATTCACTGGACGGGCAGGGACCACTCTTCTTGTTGATTTGGCCAACAGATTTTGATGAAGTGTTTAAAATATTGTTTCGCTTTTTTGCTAACTTCTTCAGGAAACCAAGAACCCTCCTTGAAAAACCAAAAGTAACAACAACATATGCAGGAAAATACTTCTTGCTTCAAACCACAAGTCCAATTCTGATACCATGTAATAGTACATTTATGATTATGCTGTAGGTGAGCATCTGGGAGGTTTTAAAATGGGGGTATAGGGAGGGGCGGAGCAACATGGCGGCGAGGAGAAGCTGCGAGTAAGATCTCCCATTAAAAAAAGTGAATAGGAGGAATAAGCGGCAGGTCCAGTGAGAACTGGGACACGGAAGATAAACGGGTGACTCCAGCAAACTGCCCAAAGAAGAAAGTGGCCATAAAAGAGGACCAGAAGGGAGGGAAGCGCAGAACCCTGCTCCCCTCCCCGCCCACAGAGGCGGCACTCTCCGACCGGCAGAGGGGAGGAAAACAACAAACCAAAACGGCCAACAAGAAAAAACGGACGCAGCAAGCGGGACTGTGAGTGGAAAGGAACTATTCAGCCACCACACCCCGTGAACGGGAGCTGTGGAGAACCCTGCAGGATTCGCCGCGGCGGTGAGCGAACGGCTCCGGGCGCCATTAGAGAAGAACAAAGACCCCGGGAGACGCGCACACAGCCCGGGCTGCCGGTAAGCTTGGCGGATAGCGGTGCGCTCGGCGCGCTTGAAAAGCAAGTGCAGACCAGGATCGCGGCTGCCCAGGTCCCCGCGCCTGCGACCTAGGCTTGGGAGACGACCTAGGCTTGCGGGGAGACGCGCGGAGTCCTCACTGAGGTGAAGGTCCCTCCCTGAGTGAGCAGGAACCAGGCGCCCAGGCAGGGGAGCGGTGCAAAAGGCGCCCTTCCCGCGCCACTGAACTGGGCTACAGCCCGCGTCCTGGAAACTGAGGGCTTTGGAACTGAGACCCGGGGCACGAAATTAGGGGCGTGGGTCCCCACGACGGTGGGGCACAAGGCAGACACAGCACCCCAAAGCCGTTGTGGTGTACCCTACCATCTCCGCTTTGCTCCCTGTCCCACGGCGTGGAAAATCAGCTCCCCAAGGGCTCTAGGAGAGATCTCTGGCGCCACCTAGCGACTTGTAGACAGCACAGGCTCCTGAAGGAAACTAGTGCCAGCTGGGGAGTTAGCCCACACCCGGCCCCTTCCGAACAAGTAGTCTGAGCCCACAGGGAGAGCGAGCACCCACAGCCAGGGCAGACCAGGCACGCAGAAGAGTGTGCCTGACACCGGACGCGCAGGGAGTGTGTCCCACATCACCATTTTAGAACAGGGACATTCTTCAGTAAAGACTACCTGAAGAAGGCTTCCTCAGGAGCCAGAGGTGAGCGGGGGAAGTTCGCCCACGCCAGACCCCCTCTGGCCTGCAGTCCAAGCCCAGAGGGGGAGCAGGAACCCACCGCCGGGGCAGACCAGGCGCACAGGGGAGTGTGTCCCCACATCGACATTTTAGGACAGGGACCTTTCTCCAATAAAGACTGCTTGAAACTGACAGATGACTCCAGGAGGAACCAGAGGGGAGAAGAGAAGCCCACCCAAGATGCCGGCCAGTCCCAACAACACAGTGTCCCAACGCATACGGCAAATTAGAAAACAGACAGTAGGGAGGAGAAGAACCACACGCAACCTAGCAACTCTCCAGAGAAAAAGCACACCACAAAAAGAAAACCAGCCCCCAGATTGCAACGACAGTAACTTGGAAGAACTTCTGAGCCTTCCAGAAAGAGAATTTAAAATTGCCGTGATTAAAAAACTGAGAGAAGTCATAAAGGAAAACAATGATAAGGGAAAAATAATCAACGATCAGAAGAATGAAATTGAGTCCCTAAAGAGGGAAGTAAAAGAAATGCAGGAGATCAAAGAATTAGTGGAAGAACTAAAGAATTCTGGGAAAAGCAATGAAAGCAGAATTGATGAAATGGAAGAACGAATAAGTGCTCTTGAAGACACAGAAATAAAAAGAACCAAAACAGAAAAGGAAAGAGAAGTATGAAGGAAAAAGAATGAAGAAAGACTTCGGGAACTATCTGACTCCATGAGGAAAGGAAATATAAGAGTTATAGGAATACCAGAAGGAGAGGAGAGAGAAGTAGGAAAGAGAAAATATTCAAAGAGATAATTGAAGAGAACTTCCCAAATGTGAAGAAGGAGCTGAAAATGATATACAAGAAGCAAGAAGAACACCAAACTTCCACGACGAAAGAAAAAATACAGCAAGACACATAATAGTAAAGCTCCCAAGAATCCAGTACAAGGAAAAAATAATGAAGCTGGCAAGAGGGAAGAAACAGATAACATTCAAAGGAAAGCCAATCAGGCTGACATCAGACTTCTCCGAAGAAACACTACGGGCAAGGAGAGAGTGGAGGGACATAGTCAACAGACTCCAAGAAAACAGATGCCAACCAAGAATACTCTATCCCGCAAAGCTCTCCTTCCTCTTTGAAGAAAGAATATGGACCTTCCCAGACAAACAGAAACTCCGGAATTTCATTGCAAATAAACCCCCACTCCAAAAAATACTACAAGGAGTCCTAAAGCCAGAACCTCAGAGGGACGAATAACAATGAAAGAGGGCCAAAAAAAAAAAAAGTTATTAAAAGAATAAATAAATAAGATCAAAGGAAAGACAAACACAATGGCAAATACAGATGTTAACATATCAATATTAACTCTAAATGTAAAATGGACTAAACTCTTCAATAAAAAGACACAGAGTTGCAGCCTGGATTAAGAAAACAAAACCCAACCTTTTGCTGTCTCCAGGAAACACATTTAGCTACAAAAGATAAAAATAGGCTCAAAGTCAAAGGATGGAAAACCAATCCTACAAGCAAATGGGCCAAAAAAGAAAGCAGGAAAAGCTATACTTATATCAGATAAAACAGATTTCAAACTCAAAAAGATAAAAAGACACCCCAATGGTAACTACATTATGATCAAGGGGACAATACTTCAAGAAGAAATAACACTCATTAACATATACTCACCAAACGAAGGAGCACCAAATATATCAGACAACTGTTGTCTTCTCTGAAAACAGACATCAGAGAAAACACATACGTAGTGGGAGACTTCAACACACCACTATCAACAATGGATAGATCAACAAGACAAAAAATAAGTAAAGAAACCAAAGCTCTAAATAAGGACCTAGAGCAATTGGGCTTAACAGACATCTATAGAACACTAAACCCCAAAAAAACGGAGTACACATTTTTCTCAAGCGCACACGGATCATTCTCCAGGATCGATCACATACTGGGCACAAGACAAACATCAACAGATACACCAAGATTGAAATCATACCAACCATCTTTTCTGACCATGAAGGCATCAAACTAGAACTAAACCATAAAAAGAAGGCAAGGAACTTTCCTACCTCATGGAGATTAAAAAACCACACTACTGGAAGACCACTGGACTAATGAGGAGATCAAAGAAGAAATTAAAAAATTTTTTGAATTGAACGACAAGGAGGACACCAATATCCTAAATGTATGGGATGCAGCAAAAGCAGTAATAAGAGGAAAATATATAGCAATAGAAGCTCACATCAAGAAACAAGAAAGAACTCAAAGAAACAACCTAATCTCGAAGCTCAAAGATCTAGAAAAAGAACAACAAAAAAACCCCAAAACCAGTAGAAGAAAAGAATAATAAAAACCAAAGCAGAAATAAATGAAATTGAAACTAAAAAAAACAATCCAAAAGATCAATGAAACCAAGAGCTGGTTCTTTGAAAAAATCAATAAAATAGACAAACCCCTAGCCAGGCTCACAAAGGAAAAAAGGGAGAAAGCACAAATAAACAGGATCATCAATGAAAGAGGAGAAATCACAACGGACACAGCAGAAATAAAAAGAATAATCAGTAACTACTATGAACAGTTATATGGAAATAAGTTTAATAATCTAGAGGAGATGGACAAATTCCTACAACTCTACAATCACCCAAAGCTAGATAAAGAAGAAATAGAACACCTAAACAGACCAATTACAATTAGCGAAATTGAAATGGTAATCAAAAACCTCCCCAAAAACAAAAGCCCAGGACTTGATGGATTTACAAATGAATTCTACCAAACATTCAGAGACGAATTAGTGCCTATCCTTCACAAACTCTTCCAAAAAATTGAGAAGGAAGGGACAATACCAAACACGTTCTATGAAGCCAACATTACACTAATACCAAAACCGAACAAGGACAACACAAAAAAGGAAAACTACAGGCCAATCTCCCTAATGAACACTGATGCAAAAATCCTCAATAAAATTTTAGCCATCAGAATCCAACAATGTATCCATAAGATAATTCACCACGACCAAGTAGGATTCATTCCAGGGGCACAAGGATGGTTTAACATCCGAAAATCAATCAACGTTATCCAACACATCAACAAAAAGAAATATAAAAACCATATGATAATATCAATAGATGCTGAGAAAGCTTTCGACAAAGTGCAACACCCATTCATGATAAAATCCCTTGAAATTCTTGGGATACAAGGAACATACCTCAACATCATAAAGGCCATCTATGACAAGCCAACAGCCAGCATCATTCTCAATGGTGAAAAGCTGAAAGCAATTCCATTAAGATCTGGAACAAGACAAGGATGTCCACTCTCACCACTGCTTTTCAATATAATACTGGAAGTCCTAGCCAGGGCAATAAGACAAGAGAAAGACATCCAAGGAATCCAAATAGGAAAAGAAGAAGTCAAACTATCACTATTTGCAGACGATATGATATTATACATAGAGAACCCCAAAAACTCCACAGAAAAGCTAATTCAACTCATCAATCAGTTCAGTAAAGTGGCAGGATACAAAATCAACATGCAAAAGTCAGTAGCCTTCCTATACACAAACAATAAATCTGAAGAAGAAGAAATCAAAAAAACCATCCCTTTTGTTATTGAAACAAAAAAAATCAAATAGTTGGGAATAAATCTAACAAAAGAGATAAAGGACCTATACAAAGAAAACTATAAAACACTGTTAAAAGAAATAGAAGAAGACACAAAGAAATGGA